CAAGGGAATGAGCCTCTTAAGAGACTCGGTTTCGCAGCATATGTCAAGGCAGAAAGAAAGAAGCGCAATAAGGGCTATTGACCCAAGCGGTTATTCAAAAAGGAATACCTATGTGTGACCATTTCACGTTAGTTCTTTAGTATCTCAAAGAGATGGTGCCATGTATCAAGACCCAGGCAGGGAAAAACAGGAGTTTAGAAAGCAGCAGGGAACAGATAGGTCTACTAACGGAGAGTGAATGCCAACAGTTTGCGTATCGGAAGTCTGCAGAGTTCCTTCGCAGGGTATATGGGTAGTGAGGAAAGAGACTTAGTGACGAGGGACCTCGGGCACACTAAGCAAAGTAGAATCGGATCACAGGCCCTCCAGTCTATGGAAGCTCTTTTAGGGAAAAAGGAGAAGAGAAACGGAAAGCATAGGAACTGCGGTTTGGCTAATAAAAACAAAAGGAATCAAACAAGATCCAAGGTAAGAAGAACTTTCTTGATTATGGATGAAACTTTCAGCATATTTCAGAAAGGGCCTGATGCCCCGAAATTTGCCCTCGCACAAAGTATTCTGAGGTTGTTCTTGTTCATCGCCGCAAATTGAGGCAAATAGACACTTTTCCTTGAATCCGGAACCAACGGTGAGAAGCGAGAAGACAGCTGATAGGAGACGTGAATAATGGAGTACACATTGACCTTTCAGCGCTTTGATTGACATCTTTGCTACTCGTGCGTACTATTTTGAGAGACAGTGAGGCTCAGACGGCGAAGTTCTCTGTCTTACGAAGAGACGCCATCGTCGTGAGATTCCAGTAAAACCCATAGCTCTCTGCGAGACAACGGCCATTCTGGAATGGCCGTGCTCAACATTGCTAATCGAGCAATCCATGCATTGCAGGTATCACAATATCCTGTGAGACTAGATCATGGGTGGCGTCAGAGCAATGGTAGGTGAGATGTCTGAGGCGGAATATGCATCGTTAATCTTATATCGGTTCGATTGGAACATAGACTATAAACAAAGGCGAATACCTCTGCATGCCGACAACCTTCGGCGGTTATATCGCCGAAAACTACTGTCCATCTTCGACCTTCCTCGACTCGGTCTCGACCATCGCCTCAGAATCCTAGAGCATGCCAGAAGACATAGTTGCAGCAGAATGTCGTCAAACACGAAATAACTTTACACCCTTGTTCTTCGTACAAAGGAGCAGGTTATCTGGATGATCAATGCATGTCAAGATAACAGATTTATTTTCCTGTTCGGGATATGTACCGTTGACTCAAGTTGTCATCTAGGCTGCGCCCGCGTCAGAATCCGTGAAGCTATGGAGTACATATTCATGGTCCGAATTTTATGTACCGTACAATATCCGTATCTACAGGCACTTCGTACTCACATTTGCTGCACGCAAGATTTCAACCTGGACGAGACAGCTGAGTCACTGTGATGTCTATCAAAGTAACTTGCAATGTCCTATGACTTCGTAGACTACCGGCACATTGTTGTTAGTAAAGCGAGCGATCTAAACAGGAAATAGTGACTACATTAGCTGCATTCATCAAATGTAACCTGAGATCCATCTTAGACACCGGGGTGATCAATGACAGCGTGGAGATAGTGGCAATTTATAGGGCCAAGCAAGATCACATTTGGAGTATATAGGTGATCTTTATCATGTTTCAGAAACTGCTATTGATACTGAGATATAGTTGTATTCTATGTATTCGAGTGTAAAGAACTTTGAGACAACATGGCCGAAATATAGTAGGAAGCAGCCTGATTGGACGCTAAAATGTGAGGTTAACTTAAGTATCATAGGCAGAAATATTGAGCCTGTATTTTTATAGCAAATATGTCAAGATTTCGTTGGGGGTGACGAGCCTTGCTTAGATTTGAGAATGGACTCAATTCAATCCAGCTGGTAGCTTGTTCCACTCTGTACCCCAGATATTTCAAGCCACGAGACTCCATTATGAGACTTCTAAATATATATGAAGACACGACCTGTTGTGATCGGCCTGTAGTGTAGATATGAATGACGGCATCCAAAGTCTAAGCTCGAGCTCAATAATATGTGCCAGCTGGAAGTGAGTTTTGGGTAATTATTAGAAAGTTGACCTTTTCCTGTCAGTACTAGATACTACATATGGATCCGTCAATCGTAAGCGCGGGTGGGTGCCTTTAAGGGACCCAGAATATGTGGTTGGCGGACTTAATACTCATGTCACGCAGTTCGGATACATAACAATTGGCTTGACAAGTATCCGTGCTCTGCAGGATCATGCCAAAATAGCGCTTTAAATATTTACATCTATGTACTATTCAAAGACTGAGTGCTATGGATTGAAATAACGGTATTGCGAAATTGAATCTTATTGATACCATTTTTATACTTCCGCCGATTGAGTGCCAAAAAAGTATTCCATACAACCATAATATATCATGTTAACAAGTGTAAATACGCTAATTTACCAATCAAGTCTTCAGCCCCGTTCTTAAGTACTTCGTGGAACAGAGGCACCCACTGGGAGCTCACCGGAGCATGCCTTGCATTGGAAAACGATGCCTAGACAATGCAAATATCAAATCTCCAGCGTTGATCCTAGAAGCACCTAGATAAGAACGACAACTTTTGAAGAGACTTCAGATTCACTTACCACATTGTGCTTAAAGATTTACAAATAACTAAATAACTTTCTATCACAGTCTTTCGATAGATCTCAACCCTCCAGCACAAAGTCATGACCATATGTGCGTGCCACCATGGGTATTACACCCATGTACCACCTTTTACTTGATCAAGTGATTGACTTCAAATTCAAAGGTACAAATTGCCTGAGCGCAGCTACTGATCTCTACAATGCCCCCAAAGGTCCCCATTTCCACTGCAAGCGGTGCCTGTCCTGCCTTGCAGTGCTCTCTGTCAGACACAGTCTATGGCACGGATAACACCTGCTGTGTGGCAGTCGCTTGCCGCGCAACAACTCAATGTCTACAACGGGACGTTTTCAGCCATTGGCTCATCGTAATGCCCAAGCTGGCACGATCGATCTCTTCGAGTTCATGTGAAACATTGTCTGGTGCACAGGGATTCCGGCTTCCGAGTGCGACAACTCAGCCAGGGGTGTGAAATCTGAACATCTTAGATGACTTGGAGAATATAGTGTGGGTGAAGACACCGGATTGTCAATGAGTTCAGCTGCGTAGTTACGAAACAAAAGGGTCCTATTAAAAGATCCATGTTCCCCGATTGGAACTTGAAGAATAGTTCTTCGGATTGAATGTTGGTATCACCAGTTCGTCAAGGACTGACTATCGTTGGTAGATTCAAAGATGGCACGAGATGTCTCGCTTGCATATTGCGTTTTGATGTTGCCATCGCCACAGAAGGAGGAGTTCAAGTCTGTTAGGCAGAAGTTCTCTGGAATCTTGAAGAGACTGAATGATTCTGTGTGCGAAGGCACGATGTTAAGACATGTTAAAGAAGTGAGCTATTGCTTGGAATGTGGCCATCACCCCAGTCGCTGGGCGACGTTCAATCAATTATGTTCATAGCAACTCCAAACTACCCTGGTATCCAAATAATTTTGTTTTATCTTTGCTCATACATCATGCCGCCGTGGGCGGATTTCAGAAGCTTATATATCTATTGAGCACCGTAGCGCTCGCGGTAGTCCTTCAAGCGCTGGATCTCACCAGCACCAATCTTGTCACCGAGCTTCTCGATCAAGTCGTGCAGACCAAGGACTGAGCGGATGGGGATCTTGCCTCCGAGATCGCGCTGAGCAACACCGATGGCGCTCTTGGTCTCGGTGTCGCTGACACGCTCCTCACGGTCCAGCAAAACAACCACACCGGCGACGATACCGCCCTCCTTCTCGATAATACCGACGGCCTCACGCAGGGCAGTGCCGGCAGTGATGACATCGTCGACGATCACGACCCGCTTGCCCTTCAGCGGGGCACCGACGATATTTCCACCCTCGCCGTGGGCCTTGGCCTCCTTGCGGTTGAAGGAGTAGCTAACATTGTCCCAGGCGTTCTTGCCAGAGAGAGAGTCCCGCACGGCGAGCTCATTGGTGACAGCGGCACAGATGGGGATGCCCTTGTATGCGGGTCCGAAGATAATGTCGAAGTCGGCCTTCGTGTTGCCATCAGCGTCGGTGGTGACAAAAGGCTCGGCAGAGAGAACGCTAGCGTAGGCAGCGGAAGAGGCGCGCAGGAGAGGCGCGGTGTGCAGGAGGGAGGAGGTGAAGAAGTAGGGCGACTCGCGGCCGGACTTCAAGGTGTAGGAGCCGAATGAGAGGACATTGTTGGAGATGAGCAGAGGGAGGAGAGTGGACTTGTAGTCCTGATCGGCAGTAGGAGGAGGAACAGACGACATATTTGCTGTGTGGTTGTCGAGAAATCCGGGGAGAAATGAAGCAATTGTCAAGATTCAAATTGCGAATCGGAGTTCAACTGATAACAGAAAATTTTCCCGAGGGAGGGGCAGGAGGGGCGGTGGCCATGGAGTGTTCCTTCGCCATGCTCTGTAGTCTGGTCAATTGGGGATTCATAGCTGGTAGTAGAGAGCTGTAGAGAGAAAGAGAAAGACTCAAAATGGCCTTTTCACCCTTCTTTTTGCTTATGTTGAGCGTCGTCTCTCCAAGGGGCCAAGACACGTGCTCCGATGGCCGGCCTTCCCCGCCAAATCGTCGATAATCCGCTCACCGAATTTCTCCCTTCTGCACTCCTCGAGCTTCACTCTTCTTATTTCTTTCATTTGTGCTCTCACTTTCACTTTGTTACTTCGTTCTTTCTCTACCCTTGACTTGCGTGTTACCTCCACGCTAATCTGGTCCAGCTCTCGGACGTCTCATCTGCACAGCCGTGTGCTGGTTTCACAAACAATTTCTTTCTCGCCCCAATCCTCGGTATGTCGGTTCAACTCCAGCTAAAGAGCATGGAAACGCTTCCCTTGATGTTTCCCCGGGGGTGTGCTGATAGAAATAGGTTAATTCGACACCATGCATATCCGGGAGAAGCTGGCCAAGAATGAGGCAGAGGGAAAGACGGGCATATCCTTCGAATTCTTCCCTCCTAAGACCGCCCAGGGTGTGCAGAACCTTTACGACCGGATGGACCGCATGCATGGTTTAGGTCCCTCCTTCATCGACATCACCTGGGGTGCCGGCGGTCGCTTATCGGATCTGACTTGCGAGATGGTCAATGTGGCACAATCGGTTTATGGTCTGGAGACATGCATGCACTTGACTTGCACGGATATGCCGATAGAAAAGGTCGACCAAGCACTCCAGGCTGCTTACAAGGCAGGCTGCACCAATATTTTGGCTCTTCGAGGAGACCCACCCCGTGACAAGGAAGTCTGGGAGGCCGCCGATAACGGCTTCCGCTACGCTAAGGATTTGGTCAGATACATCCGGGAGAAATATGGCAACCACTTCGACATTGGCGTCGGCGGCTACCCCGAGGGAGCTGATGACAACGCTGACGTCGAGCAATTGATCGATCACTTGAAGGAAAAAGTGGATGCTGGCAGTACCTTCGTGGTTACCCAGATGTTCTACGATGTGAAGAACTTCATCGATTGGGTTAAGAGGTGCCGAGCCAAGGGCATCAATGTGCCCATCATCCCCGGTATCATGCCTATTCAGACCTATGCCGCTTTCATCCGTCGATCAAATTGGACCAAGATCCGCGTTCCCCCAGAGTGGATGGAAGCCCTTGAGCCCGTCAAGAACGATGACTCTGCTGTTCGAGAGATTGGAAAGAGCCTCATCGCTGAGATGTGCAGGCAGCTGATGGCCACTGGTATCAACCACTTACACTTCTATACCATGAACTTGGCCCAAGCCACCAAAGCGGTTCTGGATGAGCTCGGTCTTTGCCCGTCGGACGAATCTCCTATCCAACGTGCGCTGCCATGGCGGCCTTCCCTTGCCCTTAACCGTCGGGGCGAAGATGTGCGTCCGGTATTCTGGCGCAACCGAAACTCCTCATACGTTGCTCGCACACAAACATGGGACGAGTTCCCCAACGGTCGCTGGACGGATTCTCGTTCGCCCGCGTTCGGTGAGCTCGACGCGTACGGTGTCGGACTCAAGGGCACTAACGAGCAAAACATCAAATTATGGGGCGAGCCTAAGTCAATCAAGGACTTGTCGGATATCTTCGTCAGTTTCTTGAAGGGCAAGCTTGACAGACTGCCATGGAGTGACTCACCAATCACCACGGAAGCCAAGGACATTCAGGACAACTTGCTTGACCTGAACCAGCGCGGATTCCTGACAATCAACTCTCAGCCCGCTGTCGACGGAATCAAGTCCTCCCACTCTGTCTACGGTTGGGGTCCTAAGAACGGTTTCGTATACCAGAAAGCCTACCTGGAGCTCCTGGTCCCCTCATACTTGATCGGCGAGCTCATCGCTCGCATCGAAAAGAACGATGACTTGACCTACCATGCCACCAACAAGAAGGGCGAGCTCAAGACGAACACACGCGACAGTCCCAATGCTTTGACGTGGGGTATCTTCGCGGGACGAGAGATCATCCAACCCACCATTGTCGAGACTGTCAGCTTCTTGGCCTGGAAGGACGAGGCGTACCTTCTGGGAGAACACTGGTCCAAGTGCTACAACGCAGCTAGCCCCAGTCGCAAGCTGATCCAGAATGTGATGGAAGATTGGTACCTTGTCAACATCGTTGACAACGACTTCCACCGCTCCAATGCCGTTTTCGAACTATTCAATGACTTGGAAGTGAAGGATCTCAACGTCGAGGTTGAGGTTCCCGCAAAGCCTGAAACCAATGGCACCGCCGAACCCAATGGAGTTGCCGCCAACTGATACCATTCCCTTCAATTCGGAACTGGTGGTCTTCCATAAAAAAGCCGACTCTTTCAACGGGTCATCTACAATTCTCACCCCAAAATCTCTCAACATTTACCTAATTCAACATCATCTCAACGATTACACAACCCGATACAAACATTCACTCCAACACATCTCGGGCCTCCCCTGCAATGTCTTATGGCGTCACGACTGAAGACCTCTCAACGATTTCTTCCACAGCGTTTTCATTTCAACATAATGTACCGATACCCCGTCTCTTTTAACAATGGCGCTTCGTCGATCGGTTTCTCTATTTCTTTTCAGGTCAACTTCCCTCCGGGCCCGGTGCTCTTCTGGACTTTCTTGTTTTTCTGTTTGGTCTACCAGTCCAGAAGAACGGAGGGAATAAAAGAATGGTGGAAACCCAAAAATTCAACATAATTTTTTTGCCCTTAGGGCTCCCTTCCTTTCTCCTGCTGTTTGTTTTTCTACTCCTGATTCTGATACATAGAGCTCGCAGTGGCTATAATGACGATGGTCGACTCTTGTCTTCTTTAGCGTCGGCTCTGCAATTTTATTCCGGTCCTCTTTTCTTCCTCCATTTCTGTTAACGATTTGAGCCTTTTTTTTTTGAACCGAAACTCATGTCGCAACTTGTCTTTGTTTATTGAAATGAGCAGATATCTCGCTAACTTGAGATTGAAGGAGACTATCCAATCCAACATAGTTGTCCCCTCATTCCGCCATTGAACCTCCCCAATTCTTTTTTATTCTTTTTATTTGAAAATAAACTCATTTTGTTTTCGCATCGTATGTTTCGTGTTTCGCATTTTTTTTCCCATCCAAGTTCTAAGGTTGTCGCAGGGGCTAGCATACAGGAACCATTCAACACCAGCATGGCGCAGTTGGGTAATATTCTTGGAGCATCATACACAAGATCGAACTCTGGCTTATGGAATTGCAAGAGAACAGTTGATTTTGTTTCATCTCCTTCTTCAACATGGGAGGTGGACGCTGGACTGGCAATTGGGAGCGACGGCTGTCTTTGCGCTGGTTGTTTGAGTCTGGGTCCACGACCATTCGGTTGTATGGGACTGCTATTCGGCTCTTCATTCTTGATTTTAGGTTAAGTTTGGAATATAATTCACAAGTCTACTTCTCGTTTACGCTGGTTGTAGCTACATGGTCACATAGTCTGGCCATATGGTAGTCGGCCTGATGCCTTAACACGGTGGAGATCCACCCCAGAATACGGGAGATAGCGTAGAGGTAGATTTTTTTTTTTCAGTAAGAAAAAGAAATATCGATGTATTGAAGAATATGCTAGTGATACAATAGACATAACCGAAGGAGTGGAAGTCCTTTCGCCCTGAACAAACACCAAACACAAATTATAGACTCGCTTTCCGACGCCAGACTTCCCAAAAGGGGGCAGTATTACACAATACACTGGACAAGTATGAAAAAGCAGGAAAGAGAGAACACGCTAGTGTTACATTATCAGGGCACGACCAACACACTGGAAGGCCCACGCAAACGGTCTTGCAAACCAGACAATCCAAGTACTCACGAGAACCACGTAGCTAGCAGCACGGCCGACGAGCATAGCCGCGAATCCCAGAATGAAGAGATAGACAACAGCCTGAAGCAACTCGAGCATAAATCTGCTGATAGCCTGATCATTGCGAGCTTTGGGCCAAGAACCTGTAGCCTGGTAGCGAGACAAAGCTGCATAGATGCATTTGAAGACGCGGTAGCAATGGGAGGTCATGTTGAGAATATTGGCGAGGACAAATTTGGAGCAAGGGCTGTCGGTACCCATTCGGAAAGACCGACTCACTTGGGTGACAGCAACGACGATAATGTCAAATACCAACGAGAGAGCCAGGGGGTTTGTTCCTTGGCTTGAGGGCTCATCCTCATCTCGAGTGTGCATCTCACCCAGATCGGCATAGACGTCTGTGATGTTGGATTGTAGAGACTCCTTTGGACTCGCAACCTGAAGCCCATCCAATTCGGCGATCTCCACGACACTGTTTGAGGTGCGGATTCGAGGTTGAGGCTTCACTCGTTCGTCCCTTTTAGGTGTATCGGCCTTTTTCGCGGCCAGGAGCGAAGACTTCTTTTCTGATATTGTTGGCTTGGCGGACTGGGATGGTTTATCCTGCTTAGACGGCTTCGCCAACGCCGATATCTTCTTGATTGAAGGAGCGGGCTTGTCTGTCTTTTCTGTCTTTTCAGACGGCGGTTCCTCGGACAGATTCACTTTTTCTGCTGCGGGCTTGCTCGGTGTAGTAGCTGCTAATTTCGTGGGTGGTGATTTTTTCTCAGGCGGAGCCTGCGCCGCCAACTTTTGTGGCGGCGGGGTCACTTTTCCCGAAGTAGCAGGAGTCTCTTTGGCGGACTGAAAAGACCTCGCTGAGCGAGATGATTCTGAATTGTCCCTGGACGGAAGTGTTGGTTCAGGAGTCACTGGTTGCTTCCGATTCGAACGCTGCAAAGAACCCGAGCCGTTTCGTAGGGACTCGGCACGATTTCGCAGAGACTCGGTGCTACTACGAAGTATCGAAGCTAGGCTATCTGTAGGTGATCGTACTATTCCGGTAGACCTTGCCAGCCCTCCGGTACGGATGAAGCCACGGATAGAATTGGACGCTGTGCCGGTAGCTCGTTCTTGGACGCGGTCTGTATCTTCTTTGTCTTTCGCTGAAGTAATGCTGCTCGCTGGTAGAGTTTGGGAAGTCGTCAAAGTAGGTGCTGTCCATTCGTGTTGAGGAATCGGCACACCGGGCCGCAGACCTGATGGCGTAGAGATCATCTGGGCCTTTGCACGGACGGCTTTGATAGCTTCCGCCGTGCCTGTGTGACTTGTGCCACCAGGACGTCGCAAACCTTGTGGCTTTGGCACAGATGGTTTCTTGTCGGGCATTGGAATCATGGTGCGTGTGATAGTGGGCATGATAATGAACACATCGTCTTCCCCCCGACCGTCCTCGAGCCTTGCGGGCTGTTCGGTTGAGTTTTTGGGAGGGAGGGTGTTCTCTTTTCCCGAGTGCTGTGATCCGGTCCTGTGGATAGAGTGCTGGGGGCAATTGAGGCTCTGACACGTTGTTGACGACTTCGAGCATTGGACATGTCTCGAATTCTGAGAAGTTTGTGGCCGCTCTTCTTTGAGGACTCCTGTCTCCTCCACTTTTTTCATCATATGCTGGGCAGTCACTCCCTTCGCATCCTTCTGTTTGTTCTTCGAAGGTAGTGCGAGTGGACGTGGATGTAGGCTGGCGTCGTCCGGCGAAGTGAACATGAGGATTTCGTCTGGATTCTTTTCTCCCGAGATTTCCCTGCATCCTAAAAAAGAGCCATCGGCATTTTGAGGGTGTCGCTTTTCCTTGGTCTTCGTTGGCGACTCTTCCCAAATTGTGCTAATACGATTCCCTCCAATCTCATCCGGGCTGTAATAATGAGTTGCCGTTTGCCGTTGCGACGCTGACATGGGCTGTGGTTGCGGCTGCCTCTGTTGCTCGTTCTGCGGCGCTTGCTGATGCTCATTTCGCTGCGTTTCTGGCTTTGGTCGATCATCATATGCCCCGTCATATCCTCCTTTGTATGGCTTGAATTCTCTGGGGCTCTTGGCGCGGGGGCTGATCTTGCTTTCTGGGGAGGCATTACGACTAGGTAATGCATCTGGATCCACCATCTGTCCTCCATCTTGATGTACCCTTTCGATGCTCTTCTGATACTCAGAAATCTGCTGAGAAGTCATCATTGGCGGGTTGGGTTCTTTTGCAGTCGGCATATTCACAACGAATCGGTCTTCCCAGTCAGTAATCGAACTATCTTCAGCTGACACTGGAGAAATAGATGGATAAGATCGTGGACTGGAGTCGGTGGTCGTGTCCGTTCGCTCAGACTTATGCGGTGTGTTCTCGGTAGCCTCCATATTAATGCACTGGTCGCCCTGCTTCCGCCATTTGTTGTTGCTGTCCGATGGGCGGCGAACATCGTTCCGATGACCCTGTGCAGGGCTACTTTTAGCTGTGCTGGGACTGGGGATCCCTGTTCGTGCAGTGGCCCCGCAAGGGCTGTTCTGATCCTGTCGACTGGCAGCGGGAGGTCGAGTACGGTAATAGGATATGCGTGGGTTTGGAGAATCGTCGATGCCATTGTCCCTGTTCCTAGCGCTTCTTCCCAATAAAGGAGAGTCCTTCTCAAACTTCTCTTTTATCTTGCCCCAGTATAGATCACGGTCCTTGCCCGATGATCGAGGCTGGTCCCCAGGTGGCCCAGGTTGACTTGGTGTAGTCGGTTTTGGTATGCCAGTAGGACTGGGGGTCTCTCTCAGTTCATTTTTGCGGTTTTCGGCAACGGTCCTGGGGACAGGAAGCCTGGTACTCCTCGGCACCTGAGACATGCTTCCTGATGCGCTTCGCGAATCGCCATATTCCGGCGTCCTTGTTTGACGGGTGTACCGAGGGGGAGGAGTCGCAGAAAGCTCTGTGGCGGAGCCTCTGTATTCTGCTCGATACGCTCTGTAGGGACTTTCGCGTGTCGGTCGTGGGGACAGGTTCACAAGGTGTCCATCTGGCAATTCTACTCGGGCTTCGGTCATATTGAGTGAAGAACAAATGTACTTTGGAGACCCGACTCTTTGGTCCAACTGTAATGTTTTCTCTATCCCATGCCGTGAGAAAGGAGCGCTGGAGCCTTGACTGGTGGTCGTGCTGTGTTCAGAATCAATGTCGAGGTCGAGGTTGGTCGAGCGTCGGTTGGCGGCTTAGGGCGAGGATATGGTAGATTCGAAGAAGACAGAGGGCGGGGTCATTGGAACCGACTGGCTGCTGAGCGATCTTCAGAGGTATTCGAGTTCTCAACGAGTAAGAATAATGGGCTCTGGTTGGCCGGAATGCCAGGGTCGTCGATGAAGAATGCCAGCCCCCGGGCCGGAATGCCCTATAAAATGTCCTGCCGCCTCCTGGAATGGCAGTTCCCTGTTGAGCTCACTAATTGCATCATTTGGAAGTTACGAGGTCTGGATGTTGAGAAAGTGCGACCCGGATATCAGTGATCATTAGCCCTAAGTCCACTCTCCGCCGCAGTGAGGCATTATGGTCTACGCAATGACCAATACTCCAAAGTATAAATCAATATTGATGTATTCAAGAGAAGATGTGTCCTGGTTCCCACGGGTAGCCGTTGATCGCCGGTTTGCATTCCCGGGCGTGGCGGACGTGAAAAAGTTCCTGGGGTACACATCAGACGTAAAGCTGCATTAAGTAAAACGTCAATTGAAGATATGTATGAGGAATGCTTCCTTTCATCGATGCGCATGACAGGCAGTAAGTCGCGCATATAACACATGGAAATTGTCCGAAAAAGGGCGTGGCAGGGTGCGCAAACAGGAAATGGTCATTCATTCGTTCTAAAACCGTCCGGTTTCTCGGCGTGTGTAGGGACTATCTGATCTATAAAAGCCGCCTGAGCCTGAGCCGAGTGTGCTCGCGGGCCCCGGCACGACACTTCTTTTCAAGGGGCTGGAAGTCCGCTGCATTGGGGTTGTGCCTCGTTCCTTGTAGATGAAGTCTCCGTTCTGTTGTACACGCCGGTCAAAGGAGGTTGTCGCGGACTTGCGCAATGGGGAGTTTGCATGAGTAAAGACCCCGAGACTGCCACCATCACCCGTAGAAGTTGTTGCTGTTGATCGGAATTGTGGCTGTCGCATCGTTGTGCGGTTGTTGTTTCGCACCAGCGGCGAACCGTCCCGGGATACATTCGGGGTCTGAATTGACTGGCCTTGGAATATAGACGAGACTCCTGGTGTGGATGCAGTTGGCTGGCGCACGGGAGTGTGCCCTTCTGGGTCAACGTGCTTCAAATAATTCGGGTTGGGGCTAGTCTTGAAGCCACGATTGATAAGTACGGCAGGGCTATAGGTGTCCACCCTGTTGATATCGTCCTCTGACTTTGGATGTCGACCATGCGGATCGGAGAATTGAGTGCCCACGTCTCGCATCAAAGGATGTGTTCGAGGCTGTACGTATTTGGTATCGTATTCCTTGAACACTTCTTTATGAACAACCTTCTGGTCCTTGGCCTGCTGTGTGTAGGCAGAAGAAATGAACGACATCTGAACTGACAGCAGTGCAGTCAGGACCATTGCGGTAACAATCGTCACACTGGGACGGGGATCGGAGAGCTGTGTTGGCAGGAAGAGCCAGTAAACCACGACATGCCCAGGGCTGAACAAAGAGAAAAGCCGGAGACAAAGTGGCGAAGGGTCCCAAATTGCAAGCTCCCAAACATCACGTTGGGCATCAGGGTGCGCTCTCGAGTTGGCCGATTCGGTTGACAAGGCCTTGGCAATGTAGCGCAGGGGAGAGGGCATCATGGGGCTCGAATCAACGCGCACGCGCTGGGCTGAGGGTGTTGCCGGAGTGGTATCGATAGAATTCTCGAACAGGCGATAGTGCCGCTTCTTGTAGAACGTATAGAAGGCATTCGCCACGGAGGCAAGGGCCAGGAAATGGACGATGAATGAGGCCTATTTGAAGCAACAATTAACTTTCTGTTCAAAATGAAAAATGAACAAGCAGTAGAAAGCGGATTCACTCACTAGCCACCCTCGCACGGATGTACTGTCATCGTCGCCAAAGACATCGTCGAAGGCCTTGCTGCCACTGGACCGACTGTTCGCCCGCGCAATCAGGAAAACCAGGTTCAACGCAATACCAATAGGCAGCGCCCAGTTCTTCTCCAGCTGCTCCCAGTCGCCACCTTCGAACTCTTCAGAGAGCCAAAGTAAAAAGTCGTATGGATTCAGGTAGGAGATGATGCGCTCAGAGAGCGGGCGACGGCGTACGAGGCGCGGCATGATGTCGGAGGACGAGAGTCGTATAAGAGAGAAACTGCTCCTCCGCAGCTTCGCCCTATGTCAAGAAATACCACGAGTGCATCAACGGCAAGGAGCAGTTGAAGTTCATTGTTTTGCGGAAGTAAACAAAATTGCATTAGCTTATGTAATGACAGCTCCCGATAACGTATTTCACATACGAGCTGGACACCCAAGCGAGCTGGACACCCCAAAACACCATAGTAAATGCGATATATTCTACACCGATATCTCAACAATCACGTTTTAATTTTATTTCATTATTTGCCGATAGCTGCTGATAAGGCTTTTCAACACTCTATATTAAATTTGAAGCAATTTAAAATCTAGATAGTTACCGTATCGAAAATTACATTGCTAGCGACCAGAAATATATATATCTCAACTACCAAGTTATAGAAATTCTTTAAACTCTTCTTTGGTACTAGATACCACTTAAAAAGCATTATCCTCTGTTGAAATTACACGATAAATGACGCTACGGAAGCATGTATGTCAAGGCCAACGAGGTGGTTTAGGTCTGATCTCTCCTCCATGAGAGAGAGATCCTATTTAATGAGAAGCATTTCTCCTGAACTATACTCTACATGGTAGGTCAATGCTGATCATGAGCTTCATGCTTAGCGAAGCAGGCATTTCATGCCTGGAGAAGCCATGAATCTCAACATCCTCTGAGGGAAAGTCCTTTATAACCTGCCGTTGTTGTGATACTATGTTGTAATTTATCGCATTTACTATGGTGTTTTGGGGTGTCCAGCTCGCTTGGGTGTCCAGCTCGTATGTGAAATACGTTAACCATAACCACGGCGATCAACGGACACACCTTAGCACAGTCATAATGAGGTGATTTACTGAGCCACTTCTAATGTGAACATCCGGAAAAGGACTTACAGTACTCTACACCACACTATCTTTAAGCTTGTATTTGACAAGTTCGCACTGTGTAGGTTCTCTCTGGCCTGTCTTTCTTCTTCTGTAGTTGATCCCCTCCGTTCTTCGCAAAGATGGCCCAGCCTTATGACAGCGCCACCCGACATGGCCCTCAGGATATTGAAGGACTACCTTCTTCGGTCAATGTATATCACTACAACAGTATGGACGACTTTTGTCGGGTCATCTCACTTGAGCGTAGTCGTCTCTATAGCTCTTTCCGCGCTGCACAGGGGAATTACGAAGGACGCCAGGACAATCTGCCACAGACGGAAGGCACCCAGAGCGATCACATTATCTTCATCATTCAACCTTCGACTTTTGCACATGACTTCCTTGATCCATTAGCAGATCTTCCCTTTCGTGGTAGGATATCCTTCAATCCAAAAACGAACCTCCTTGTCGTGAAGATGCTCCTCCCAGCGCACGAGCAAGCCGCAGGGGCTTTTGATGATACGCTCAAATCGATCCTCCAGGAAAGGGGCCTACAAAACACGATTTTCTCATGGAGATCGTCGACATTGACTGCTGAAGATGGCACAAGGAAGGAACCAGACGATGGATGGGGTCCACGAAGAACTCCCCGCGGAGCTCCTAAGAGACCCTCGGTGGTTCTAGAAATCGGATCGTCAGAGACTCCTGGAAAACTTCGCGGCGGTTGCCACTACTGGGTAGATCCAGCAAGAGGGCAGGCCAACATGGCTTTCGGAGTAAAGATCCATGTAAACATTCCTAAAATCACTATCGAGCAGTGGGAGTGGAACTCGGAGGTCTCCCGACCCATCAGAAAACAATACCTCACGATCACGAAATCGAGATCCGATGGGAAAGTCCGCTTTGATCCCGAGCAGCCTGCACCACAGCTCCTCATCCCCTTCCACCTTCTATTCCGACGATCAGCGGAGAATAACAGAGAACGTGACATAGTGTTTAGGACACAAGACCTCGTCGAGTTCGGAACTTTGGTGTGGGACATGCAATTCGAGAATGAGTCAGAATAAAGGGCTTTTTTTCTGTATCACGAGCAGCTTTTCTTTCTTCTGTTGTCTCTTCTTGCTTCTATTGCCTCTTTTAACCTTGTATCCTTCTTCATCAGTATCAAGAAGATTTTAATCAGACTCCTGCTTTACAGGGGTGAATATATCTAGGTCATTATAGAATTGCAGATCTATAGATTATTGTAGTATACTACCAAGCTTAGGGTGATAATATCTTACTTCAGTACAGTAGCAGGGAAAATTAGGAGAATAGCCAAGTAGATGAGTAAGGTCACAGGGAGTTGCGGAGCTCAGTGATACGAATATATCACAACATTGCGTCATTGGAGGACTCGGAATACAGATGCGTGGAAAGAAATAGCACAAGATTGAAGCTATGAAGTTGAAGCTGCGATAGAGGTGGGGAGTGGGTTTATTCGTCAAATTGAAGTGATACCTTATAACATCAAAAGTTTTCATATTTTCAGCAGGCATCCGATATGCATGAGTCCCGTTCGAGGTATATGTCAAGATAGTGATAGAAATCTCTTCTTCGTAGGTCCATTGAAGTCGTGAAATGCTCCCGCTGTCAATGGTTTAGCCAGCTAGCGCGGACGCTTAAGGATGCCGGCAATGCGCAGGTTAAACTAAGAAACAAGCTTTGCCCTTAGGGGTGAGGACATGATGACATGATGCCTTGACTCAAGGGAAAAATAGCTCACCGGTGATCGTGAACATTCGAGCCCTGTAGATACTATGCTTATAGTTCGCAGCTGTAAGGAAGCAAGATGAGCTCTTAGTTCATTCTAGAGCCTCGTATTCAGTATCCGATCTTTCCTGGGAAATAGAATCCCGACAGCAACGACGGTGAAGGCAGATATGTATCCGAACTAGAGACAGGGTTCGGTCCGAAACAGCACGGTGCTAGAGCTGACCGGGACCCGGTATTAGTCATCATTTTCGCAGGTCCCCGCTCAACTTTTAGCTGGTCCCGCTCAGCTGGAACCCGAACGACAGCTGGACAAGATCTCCTGTTTGCTGTTTCCACCTCAAATAACGAGTCCGGTCTGAGAGTAATTCCCCTCGAATATCCTCCGATCGTTCGATTCTCCGGCTTCATCATGGCGGCATCAGCCGCAACATACAAGGTACTGACCTTCGCTCGATGGAACAGCCCCTCCGATAACGTCGCTAACTGGTCTCTACTCTAGGACCGGCAATTCCTCGCCGTTATTGGCGATGAGGAGTAAATGACCCCTGCTACGATATTTCTACTTTGGAGAGACCAGATCCGGCTAACCTTGCCTCACCCATTGTGCAGCTCTGTCACCGGTCTTTTGCTTGCAGGCATTGGGGTATGACCCTCCTCCGCACCAACCCATCTACCCACGGCTTTGCGATAGCGGAGAGCAGCTCGGTATTAACGACTTCTTCCATGCACAGCACGTCACCGAACCCCCAGGCTCCCAACGAAACTTCTTAGTCGTCGACTCCAAGACCGAGACCTCGGAGATTGAACGGGCCTTCCAGAACTTCACTCAAGAGCGGAAAGATATCGCCGTCCTACTGATCAACCAACACGTGAGTAAACTCCCTATATGTACTGTACAAGACAAGTGCAGCGCGCCGGCTTGGTCACCGACACATCGTCTAACATCTATCTTGAAAACAGGTCGCAGAGCGCATCCGCCACAGCGTCGACGCATTCACCGAACCCTTTCCAGCTGTCCTCGAAATCCCCAGCAAAGATCACCCCTACGACCCCGAGAAGGACAGCGTTCTCAAGCGTGTGCGCCGTCTGTTTGGAGAGTAAACTTATTTACGTCCGTTATCGTCTTGGTCATTTAGCTGCGAAAAGAGTTTCTTTCTTGCGACATTCTATCTTGGGGATATGCAAAACATTTTTGATCCCATTGCCTCTGATTTCTTGCTGGTGGAGCCGGCTGCGTCTGGTTGGAGATGGGTGTGGAGAAAACATGGAGATATTAGATAGGGAAGATACCCAGCATAACTGAAATGAGAATGCACATACACCCTTCTTATACATCCTAGTATGTTTACTGGTCTTACTTTTAATTCATGCCTGTGTAACCCTTGTCAAAAAAAGAATGGTGGGCTTGACAAGTTTGGTGCAGATGTATATCAGTCACATGGCCCAGTTGATTTTATATTTTTCAAGAAAAATACCCTCGAAGCGATACTACGGCTAGACAAAGCCCCAATGAAGTTATAGCGTCAAAGCAAACAATCTACGTCGGCCTTTTGTGTTCGATAATGGGAAGACGGATTTATATTATGGTCTTAGGTACGTGTAGCTACCGAGTTTACAAAACGACTTGGTATATGTTCGAATGACAATCACAAAAATATCAGCGTAGACGCAAGGAGCGTAGCAATGGAAGAGGAATCCAGATAGTGCAGCGTAACAAAGGTAAAACTGAAATGCGAAACTCAAGAAGGTCGTAAGAAAGGGCGTAGATCAAAGCGTTGTGGGTGTTTGAACACTCAAAACAACGCAGAGCTCATGATATTGAGAGTTAAACAAGCCGATGCCACCCGGAGCGTGGATGCAAAGCGATGTCGAAGTTCGATAAGATCATAAGTGGAATTGAATGTCGTCGGCTTTGAGGCAGGTGACCTGCTTCAAGTCCTTGTTGTAGACATCAGCCAGAACCGAGTATTTGCCCTGAAAAGAAAACGTCAGCCATCGATTCTTCGCAGAGTCATTATGAAGCACGTACGGGAGGAATCTGCTTGGGCAGTTCCACCTCCTTTGTCAGAACCATCTTGCCCTTCTCCAGAGGACACGACATATCCACGTTCTTGAGTTCATCGCAGAGGTCGACAGTCTGCTTGATCAAGGTAATAAGACCCCACTTCACTTCGAGGTTCACTGTGGCGCCCTTCTCAACTCGGTCGAGCAAGGTACCTGTGGCGGAGATGATCAACTTCTCACCTCTACCAAGGGTAAAATATCAGTCAGTAAGATCCGCCATAAAACGAGGGTATTTGTGGGATTCAACGTACGCAAGAGGGGGGTTGGGCGTGAGATCCACCGACTCAATTTCAAGGCGGTAACTGGTCGGGTCGGCACAGTAGTTCAGTGGGTTATCGCCCTCGACGGGAAACTTGGAGTCATCGGTCTTCAGTGAGACTTGCGAGGGATCGAAGAGTGAGAACGCGGCCGCACTGGCAAGAGGAGCCGTGAGGGCCAAGAGGCCGGCCGATAAGAACTTCATGGCGACTGTGACCCGTTCAGGGGAAAGCGGGTGCAGTGGGTAGGTAAATGGGATATGTGCGATAGTAAAATATCACACAGAGCGTGGTTCCAGGTCAAAGGCGAAACTTGGAGTAAAGGAAGTTGGGGTGAGGAGAAGAGATGTCACTTGATGACGCCTCCACACGTGACAGGGGCAGATCTATTCCTGTTTCAGTCGGACTTTGGTTCAACGCCTCGTACCTGCATGGCGGCTGGCCATCATCCTTAATTCTCATGCTATCTCTTGTTTTTCGTATTGAAATCTACAACCTTGCAGGTGAACCTGAAGCATTGTACTCCTTCCATTCGAGTGGGGAGCCTGTTTGACCCACTACTTCAGTCTCTTATCGGTGATCGCCAGCGAATCAAAAAATCCAACTGAGCCCTCATCTTATCGCACATTTGAACCATCTCTAGCATACTTTGTTTCCAGTCGCCAGCGTCACCTGAGGGAACTTAAGCTATAACGGTTTGTCGAGTAAAGGGTATTGGAAAGGGGATCTAATTCCAGGTCAATCGGTTCCGGGAGGTGATTGCGTACATCATGAACATCTGCCTTTGAGAAGTTCCCTGGCCTGTTAGTCGACTTGATTCAGGCCCATGCACATAATCTGACCGGGATATTAGAAGACTGAGGCATGGGTAGGTTTTGGTTTGGATTGGGGAGATAGTCGTGGGTGTCGACTGGAGAAGTTGAGGAGAGTAGACTGGTAGTGTCGGTGGCTAGCATCCTGCTTTGAGACTAGCGGGGGGCTGTTCGGTAGGGAAGTTGCTATTGATGCGAGCATTCCACGGTCTAGTATTAGTGTTGAGGGTTACGGTGGTTGGGTGATGGGGCGTGTCGGGGTGCTCGAAGACACCTTTAAGTCCTGGCGGATAACCTGCCATATACTGTCGATTTTGTGTAGTTACTGCACTTCCCGATAGAGGCTCGTTGGGAAGTGTAGAGAGCTGGTAGAGATGGTGGAGTAGGAGTCCAACTAGTACTGCAGAGCAATATACCTCCCGAAAGGTTTCCTATGATAGTAGCACATTTGTTGTGCGGGGCTGGAAAACCAAAAGAAACTCCAATTCACACCGTAGAAGATAAGACTTCAATATGGGACAATATATATAGTCCCGGAATAGGATCTTTATCATTTGAAGCGAGGGGTCTTTGTGTGTAGGCACTACGTATAACTTTAGGGTAGTTTTACGGAGCGTAAAATGACCCCTTATTGGTCCAAATATACCTACGTGCCCTTAGTAAATATGTATATATCACTAGAAGACTCTAAATATTGTTCCCATAACAATTGGTGACTGTAAATAGACTAATAGAGAAGCGATTGTATAGCTCGATATTTTATCTTTAAGGGGAGATAAAGCTGCGCAACGCAGGTTTCCTGTTTATCTGCTCGGCAGATTCATGTAAAGGCTTCCGCGATGACAGTCTTTCTACTAGAACATTAGTGTCTTTTGCTCTTGATCATTTGTTTGTCTATAAATGCGGTCAGAAAGAGAATGAGCTGAACGCGTGCTAAGGGTCCCTGCATACCCGTTGGACGCTCGGTTCATGTCTTGACCGCTCTTAACCAATCTCTCAGAGTAGATCACGAATCTTCAATTCCCTAGGGATTGGCAGGCTTTATAGACAACAAGTCGTATGGTCATATGATCGCCACAGCCTTTAGCCCAACAATTTCCGTCTCTAGCTGGCTAAAAATATGTGGGCCCGGTGGGCGTCTATCTTGTCAAAGTTTGGACCAACCGACTCTCATCGCCTTGATTTGGACGGGGCGTTCAGAAGAATTACTCATCGACATCGCGTGGCTCATGCTTCTTCCAATACTCCTCGTATTCCTCCTGTGTCTGACCCGAGACAATCTCATAGCGAGAAAGAGGAGCCAAGGGGATACCCAGCTGCTCATACTTATCCAAGCGTTTCCTCGTATTTTCCCGACTCTTGTTGATGCTATAAACCTTGATTCGATGAGCCGAAGACGTGACATGCAGGCCCCAGTTCCACGCCGCGCGGACATTGAGTGGCTGCGTGTTGAGGGAGTTATCCCAGCATCGACAGACAATCTCAATCCATCCTTCAACGTCACAAGGCAGATCAAATTCCCAGGTACGCCAGGTCCATTTTCCCTTCTTGGATAGATTCTCCGGTGGCACGTCGTACCAGGTGAAACCGCCATCTGCTGATAATTCGACTCTCTCGGGCCATCGACCACCGCCGGAGTAAGCCCAGCCCTTGCATCGAATCTTTCCTATGTGCACGACCGCTTGATTTGTCCATGGGGTCATGATAGCCGAGCTGACTGGCATTTCTTGGATTTGGATGCCGTCTGTGGGACGTTGGTTGTACTTGCCAACCTGTTGATTGAAGTAGAGGTATTCCCTGCTCTGAACTGGGGCGCGGGATGGATTCTCAATGGCCTTGATGCGGTAAAGCCATTTGACGCTTCGGGCTCCAATGTATCCTAATACCACCACTCGTAACGGATACCCATGGATTTTGGGCAGAGGTTCACCGTTCATCTCCCATGCCAGGATGACCTCGTTGGCCTTCACCTTGGACCAAGGGACGCTGACAACATAGTTTCCCACCTCGAGATCCTTGATGTAGGTCTCAGCACCGTAAAGCTCGAGATGTTTAGCTGGCTTGACGAGACCCCCGCAGTCCTTAATCAGCTTCTTCAAGCTGATACCGACGTAACGAGCTGTCCCAATGGCACCCTCAGCCCACGGTGCTTGGGGAACCTCGTCTCCCTGACCACCGTACAGGGAAATTTGCTCAATACGACGAGTTCCCGAGCACTGGATAGTGACCGTCTTCTCCATGCGTGGGAACCTAGTCTCATCCATGATATCATGGAATTTATAAGACTTTGGGTGATTCACCAGCCCATCTAGCGACAGTTCCCACTTTTCTTTATCGATGATTGGAATGCCGCCGTGGTTCCGGACGAAGTGAAGAGGATTTGGTGTTATCGCCTTCGAGGTGACCAGCCGCTTGGGAGGCTCCCCATTGTAAGGGAATTGGAGGAGATGCAGCATATCTGCATGTTTCTCACGGAGAACGCATCTCCAGGAATCGTCTGCAACAGTGGTGAGTTCACCTCCGAGGGCAGTATGCCAGTCCTTGAAATCATTGCCCGGAAGCACGGGGTTGGTCCCTGGAATTGGACCGAAATTGAAGTCGGGGCTTGGGTTAAATGTCTGCGAAGTGAGGATCTTGTGCGCCTTGGCTTTTTTCTCGGGATAGTTTTCCCACTCGATGTATCTATATTGCAACAATAGTCATTAGCTTGTTGGTCAGTAGTACCATGTCATAGATGCATGGGGCAGCAATACCCTTTCCAACCATTACGTTCGCGGGTGAACAGCTTGGCGCGATCACCCACTGATGCGATCGCCTCTTCATCCTTCATCAATTTCGTCTCCGGCGGAGGGTAAAGGTGGACGGTGTCACTTCCAGATTGGTCAAGGATAGGTAGCTTGTGGCCGGCCATGCCTTGTTCAATCTTCCACTCATCAGGACGATTGGTAGTATCCAATTCAGCTGGCAGCTCCATTGTGCACAGATATCAAAGGAAACTTCAGAATAAACTGTATAGTATATTTAGTGTAATTGCGTTGTTATGACGGATATGTTATACCCATGTGAGGTCAGGTAGCTTTTTTTATATTTCAATCATGCTAGGGTTTCGGGGGCTGGGAAATTCCGGCAGGCGCCCATAGCGACACCTAAGAATTCGCTCCCGATACATAATTTAGACTGCATACAGTAGAAGTCATACGGTGGCCCGGAAATGACGGCTAGGCACTGTAATGACCTCACGACTTGAACGAACTCGTCTACCGTATATACCAAACCAAGGATGCACTTCCAAAAAGAAGTCACATTAAAGCTCGAGATTATAAGCAGAAATTGGCGTTAACGTAGTGAATCTGGTTTATTTGGTTGGCGCGAGGTGGATAACGACGTAGTCCCAGCTCCTATCCACACTCTCGTGAACTCAATTTCTTGGGTTCATTTTATTCATTATCGATATGGAAACCGCTTGATCTCTCAGGATAAGATAAAGAACCATTGGCATAACCCGTGGAGTCCCCCTGTCGAAGAGGAATTCGCAGCCGAGTACTTAGATCAAGCTGCAGCTTTGTACACCGGGACAGATCGCTTGGGTCAACCGCGATTGGTCAATGCCTTGGGAGCGACACCTTCCTAGCTACGATTGGTGGCTAATTATACTTGATTTTTCTCGAAAGGAGTAAACGTTGCCCATCATTGGACATTGACTAATGTGTTTTCCAGTGCAGGAATGTAGCATAGCGTTGATGTCCGATTGGGGTAAGGAATGCATGATGCGTTGGATTTGCGCCCAGACCTCGCTGGGTCGAGGCATTCGAGGGCTGAAATTATTTCCGCTTCTATCACTGAACCGTCTTCCTCGAGCAAAAGCAATATATCTTTAAATCATGGCCCAGCAACAACTCATGAGACGGACAGCATCCCTACTCCAGCTATCTCAGAACTTTCGCACCCAACGCGCTTCCAGGAATCCTGGGGTAGGGAGACGGTGTTTAGGGACACCAAGTGAGATACCCCTTGTGCGTCCCTATCATGTAGGACCCATGGCATTCACAAAATCTGACCAGGTGCTCTCCATAGACACCTCGGCGTCAGCGATCTTTTAACGAACGGACCGTCAAGCCTTTCTCTGACTTCCTCACGGACAATTTTCATCGTCAACATGATTACCTACGGATCAGCGTCACGGAGCGGTGTAATCTACGTTGTTTGTACTGCATGCCCGAGGAAGGGATAGACCTGTCTCCACAGGCTCGGCTGTTAACCTCGCCGGAGATTGTTTACTTATCATCACTCTTCGTCTCTCAGGGCGTGACAAAGATCCGTCTAACGGGCGGGGAACCAACCGTACGGAAGGACATTGTCCCCTTGATGCAAGATATTAGTAAGCTACGGCAATT